TCGAATTGTATCAGAGTTCATATGAGAGCAGTCATCATCTGGCGAAGAATAAGCAATATTCGAATATCTGAATACAGTTTAAAATGGATTTGCACACATTTATATTTCGTATATAATTGCCGGCTACCGTAGCCTGCTAAGGCGGCTAGTTAATCCCTGTTTCAGACACCTGCCCAGGCGCATTTGTGTTTGTTCAACGCCTGCCTGCCTGTGGTGTATACTGCAACTATGCTGAGCGAGCAATTATTTTCAACAACGCCAGTACGTTCAGTCACAATGTCTTGTGATCGAGGGCTAGAAGAACCATCGACGGCTTGTCATTTTCACTCACAAAACTTGGATAAAACCGTAGTATGGTTTTCAGGCACTTTTCACGCTATGATTGCCCCCCCAGACAGATTACTTCAGAAGGTCACCTTCCAGATAAATCGACCATGATAAGATGCAAACCCTTTTCCCATGGTGGGAAAGCGACACACACACACACACACACACACACACATATATATATATATATAAGATGACAATTGGACAAAAATCCTCGTTTTTGCAGACGCGTTTCGTCTCCCGACTTTTTCAAAGCAAAAATGAAATGAAAATGTTTCTGTTGTTCTAGTTACATTAGAAAATCCAAATTTAAAAAAATAGATTTTTTTTGTTTTTTTGTTTTTTCTTTAACATAAAGTATAAAGGAAATTTACATTAACCAGGAAGAGGCTTACGCGGAAGCGTCTCTCTTTTTTAATTTTTTTAAATAAAGGCACAGCAAAAATTCATAATTCACGTTTCCAAGGATACAGAGAAATCCATTCAACCAGACAAGGGGTGTTTGCGTGTTCATTATCGCTGTATTTTGATGTATCAGTTATTAGTTGCGTTTTGGTAGGGGTAGGGATGTATTTTTCAATGAATTCTGACATCCGTTAAATGCATGTCGTCTGGATTTTTTTTTAATTTATTTTTTTTGCTGTGCCTTTAAAACCCAGTAATTTTAAAAATAAGTTACTCCAAATAAGTTACTGAAATGGAACTAATGTCTTTAATTTAATTAAATTCGAAGCTTTTAGCTTCCATTTTTGAAACATGGTTAGAACTGTGTAGCGAAAAAAAACATTTTAAATCAATTAATTTATAATATTAATGCTCTGTAAAGTTACATTGAGCACTATTTTGCAAAAATAAAAATATCTATAAGAACACCGGATTATATACCTTACTGTTCTTTCTTTTTATTTATATATATATATATATATATATTGTTTAATATCTTGAAAGGTAATTGTCATCTTTGATAATGGCTTATGTAAGCTGAAAGGTTAGATAGGATTAAAAAAATGTATCAATATGGTGTTTTTCTTTCATCTTTCAATGATAATGTTATTAAGCTTATCAGACAATATGAAAGGAATTTACTTAAAATATATCGACAAAACTTTTCTATGTTATTTAATGAAACATGCATCAATGATATATATATATATATATATATATATATATATATATATATATATATATATACGTGTGTGTGTGTGTGTGTGTGTGTGTATGTGTACAGAAATTTGATTTATGATCACCACTTTCCTCAGAGATCCCAAGGCATTTTTCCTCACATACAGTTATGTCTTTCTTTCATTATAACCTGAGAAAGTCAAAGAGAGCAGACCACCTCAGCGAAACGCGTTAATAATAAATGTTCCACTTTGTCGCTTCCTTGGGAAGATATAAATACTCTTCTTCCCCCAGATAGGGGTAAATAGCGGAACAGACCGGGTTCTATAACCTTTGATGGCAACTGGTCTACCGCAGAAAGAAATGGCACCCTATTGCGGGAAAAAATTAGCCTCGTCAGTCATGTAATTAAAGAATGCCTAAGTGTTTATCACAGATGACGTATTTCTTAGTAGGTAGTTAGTTAATCGTCTTCAGTATAAAACAAAAAACTATGTGTGTGATTATTTTAGCAAACAGACATGGGCGCTTTTAATACAAAGGAAAAAACAAAGATTTGTCTTTCATTTTGAATCAAAGACTCCAACCTAACGAAAGCGAAACATCTTGTTAATAAATAGCTTTTCTACATTGTCCTATTGCTCTACATGTAAATATATATATAAAGAAAAAATAGTGTGAGGAGATAGACAGATAGGGAGATATATAACGAAGAGACTAAGATAGATACACATATCTGTCGTGTAATAAAAAATATATGAATGCTTTTTGTCTATATATATAATAATTTCTGCATGTGTGCCTGAGAGAAAGAGACAGGCAGATAGAGAGAGAAAGGAGATTTGCAGTGATTTACTAATTTTAATCTCTTCAAAGGCATCTATGTGAGATCAGGAATTAACATACGAGTTAATAATTGTATCGACCTACATATATATATATATATATATATATATATATATATATAAAAGTGAACATAAAGTCAACACTTAGAGGCGACAGTTTGTTTCATGCTAGATGCAATCGTCAGGCCATGTGTGCCTGACGATTGCATATAACATAAAACAGACTGTCGCCTCTAATCTCTTTTATATTTATACACGCTTTATCCCATAAATATTGAGCACTTTATCCACTAAATTTAGCACACCTATAAGATATATATATATATATATATATATATATATATATATATAACAGTGAAAAGAATATAATTCAAACGTACACAGCATTTATTCAAAATTCAAAAGCGGGCTCAGTGCCAGGAGTACAGCTGTAGTTATTGATAATATTTTTTTTTACATACGAACAAAACAATTTCTCACGACAAATTGTTTTGCTCCTATGTAAAAAAATATAATCTCTCTCTCTCTCTCTCTCTCTCTCTCTCTCTCTCTCTCTCTCTCTCTCTGTAGATAGATGTCGAGCCTCCTTCTTGTCTCTCTTTTTCTCTTTCTCTTTTCTCTCTCTCTCTCTCTCTCTCTCTCTCTCTCTCTCTCTATTTATTTCTATCTATCTATACAGCAACGAAAGAGACGTAAAAGTACGCAGGCATTCAGCTGAATCATAAGTAATTGCCGTTTTTGGTAATCAAGTCTCCTGGTTAATGTATCATCCTAACTACTAATCACAAGTGACGGTTAGGAATAAATTTGGAGTACTCACAGCAGTGGCAGCGTATACAGTGGATTTAATGAAAAAACGTTGAAAAACGCACGGCCGCATCCAGAAAGAACAACACAGGAAACCTTTTTGGAACTCGGTTGGTCTGTTCTACCCGACTCGCACAAAATGTTTAATATCTAAAAACCCATCAAAATAATTGAGTTTCTTTTTTCCAGGATTTCAAATAAGACGGTTAGCCATCTTGACACCATTTTTCGTAAGAATCACTGAAAAACCCTTTGAGTTATTCAGCTAGAAAGAAAACAGATAAAAATCGTTTTTGTGTCGGCCAAACTTTCTTCCCAAATGAGCAATGGTGAGAGATCATTCTGGCCTTCGGTAATGGTACCAACGTTCACACTCTGGCTTCCATCGTCAAAGTCCACTCAAGAACCAGAACGTTAAATAAAAAAAAGGGAACAGTAAAGTGGAGAACTGGATCAAGCGGTCACAGCAGCAAGAGAAATCATTTCACCTTAGAGCTAAATACATTCTTATTGTTCAAAGTAAAGTCCAATAGTGTTATAAAATCTTCTTAAAATTCCAGTAAGATATAATTAGTCATTTCTAAGATACAATAGTTCAAAGGTTAAGCTAAGAATTGAAAAATTTGGCAGTTACACGCTTTGGACAATTTTGCTGTTATACATTAGTTTCGGCGAAACGCTTCGTTAATAAATTTTCCATACTTTTTCTCATCATCTTCCCACACACAGCCTCACACATACACATACACACACAAACACATATGCACACACACAGATATATATATATATATATATATATATATATATATATATATACGGGGCGTATTAATATATGCTTACAAACTTTGGGAATGAGTTCAATACATAAAATCTAAGACAAAAGTTCACATAAACATATATTCGCAAATCCTTTGTTTCTGAGCCATTATGTTTAGAGTTTATGGTAAACGTTGTTAAATGTACAATACAAGATACAATGCAAAAATACTTATTACCAAAGTCTTTGGTGCCATGGATCGTGTCTCCGCAACGCGAAGACAAACATCATCAAAGGTTCGATGATTCAGCTGCCTTCTCGATGGAAACGCAATTTAATAGAGCCGTGCAGCCTCGCGTCCATTACCATTCGCGCGAACGTATGTAAAAATCATATCTGCCTGCTCACGATATGAATATCCTGCCATTGTTGAACGGAACACTTCTCAGTTAACTCACTAATACACTTGTTAAACGTTGACGACAGACTAGCCACAAATGTACACGAATGATAAATGTAACCTCGTCTACATGACAATACAACACCATCTACCGTAAACTTTCTTTAAACTTAATAACTTAAAAAATGGCTTGCAGATATATGTTTATATAAACTTTTGTTCTTGTTTTGTTGTGAGAAACCAGTCCCCAAAGTTTGTAAAAGTATTTTTGATACACCCTGTAGATATTTGGCCAGCAATCTTTCTTTTATAAATGTTTCCTCGAATGTAACGGACAGGAAAAGTTTCATAAGTTTTTTTGTTATTGCTGTTGTTCTTCTTCTTCTATGTGATGTATTCATTCAAAACGTTGGCGACCATGGTTCTCCACTGTTTCCTCTCCTTTGTAGTTTTTAATAAATGTTGTCTTTTTGTTATCTCTCCTAAACCTTGTTTCGCCTTCCTTTTACTCAAGCTCGCTAGGTAGAGTATGCATTGTTTTGTTCTGTCCGTTTTGCCTTCAGTTTGTTCTGTGTGTATCAAATTTTCCAAGCCTTCTTTCCTCAATATGTGCCCTAGAACATTCAACTGTCTCTTCCTTATATTTAGAATAAGTTGTCCTTTTGTTCCTATTTTCTCTAAAATCTTGTCGGTGCTCACGTTCAGTACATGATATTCTCAGCATCCTTCTGTAGAAGCAGAA